TGGGGGAGGGGTCTTGAATTGGCAAATAAATCCTTTGTCCCTGTCTCTGTGGCTGCTTAGAAGGGGGAGGAGGAGGGCCATTTTTACTGGCCTCTGGTCTGATTGGCTGGAGTTGAGGGCAGCCCTGTGTCTTGGGGGCCAGTCTCACTGAGGCTCCTGTGGACAGCATTCAAACCCTAGCCGTGCTGGAGCCAGGTTCTCCCAACCTTGGCCCTGTATCAGCCCTCCAGGGAGGGGGCCCAGACTAGCCGGCGGCGGTGGTGTCTCTCTGCTGGCAGGCTACAGATGGGTGTTCACATGGCCCAGAGCTTCTCCGCCCTCCCACGTGCTGTAGACACACTGATACAGTGATCAGTTGTGAGTCTGTGTGTCTGTGGAAGCCTTCCTGGAAAGGGGGAATGGGGGGCCAGGGTGGGGAAGGATTCCAGACTTGTACAGGACTTTATGGAACACTTTCACACCAATTTTACTGACTCTTCAGGACAGCCTGGTGAGAAAGGGAGAACCGGAAATATTAGTGCTCGTTTACACAAATGGCCAGTCCAGGGCTCATACTCCTGATTTGTGGGCAGGGTGGGGCTTGGATTAGGAGCTGGAAGTCTGAATCCCAGCCCTGCTTTTTAGCAGCTATGTGACCTGGAAAGGGAGACCAGGGTTTAGTTTTCTTCATCAGTGAAATGGGGGGTGGGGGAGCCTTGTGCTGAGGAAGAGATTATCTTTAAAGGTTCTTTTCAGCTGTAAATCCTGTGATTTCTGGTCCATCATGATTTCCACTATGAGCCCTTTCCAAGTCTTGGGTCCTGGCTCTGCTTCAGGAGCCAACTCAAAAACTCAAACTTCAGGAAAGGAATTTCACCTCCCGTCCTTGGTTTCCTCTTGTAAAATGAGTCTCTTGTGCTAAATTGGGGCTTCTTAATCTGGGGTCTGAACTTGGATTGGGGGGACAATTAGACTTACTTTCACTAGCCTCTAACTAAAATTTATCATTTCCTTCAATTAAAAATGTAGGCAACAAAACAATTATCATGAGAAGGGGTCCACAGACACCAGATTGCCAAAAGGGTCCAGAACACAAAACTAAGCACCCCTAGATCAGGTATCTAGGGTCCTTCCAGCTCTGACATTTAGGATGGATTTTAGGACCACGTCCTTTCTGCCTCACTTTTGTCTCATTTCTCTGAGGTGTTTTTTTTTCTATATATCGTACCATAAAGTGGAGAGAGTGGGGGAAATGGCAGGACTGCGGAGAAGTTAAGGCCTTCGAGGGGAGGGGCGCAAAGCACTTTACGTTGGGCTTGGAGCTCTGGAGCCAATGAAATTGGGAGGAAAGTTACTGAAGCTTCTCTTCAAGTACCCCCTTCCTCCCAACACATAAACTCACAATTTGAGAAGGCCATCAGTCTGAACCTAGAAGAGCTGAAAGCTTTGTTATCTAAATACAAGTAGTTACCCGCCTTCACAGTCAAGCCCTTTCATTCGGGACTGTTAAATCCTTCCTTGCTTATCAGTAGGCAAGGGCATTTTCCATAGGTGAGGTGATCTAACATCCTATTGGTGCAGCTTGGTGCAGGGGAAGAATGGGGGCAGATAGTCCCCTCACCTTCTCGTGTCTTCTAGTCAGGGGATATGCTTTCTGGCTAAGATCCAGGAGTCCCAGGCGCTGGATCTCCCGAGTCCCAGCTCCTGGATCTCCGGAGTTCCAATTCTCCCCTGGTTATCTGTTTGAAATCTTGGCTTTGTGAGTTAGTGAGTGATCCTCACTCAGCCTTTGACCGCTCTCTTGGCAGCCCCCTTCCCATCTCTAGTGTCAATGACCGGACTCCCGCCCTTCCTCCAGTTTGCTGCCCCTCCCGCTCCGGGGACAGGAAGTGTCCGGGCAGGGGTGGGGGCCTGGGCCGCAGCCGGTGATTGGCAGTGCAGGACTCCAATGGGCCTTAGAGCCCACCCTCTCACCCCCATTCCCCAACTCCGCCGGGACCGGAGGGCAAGAGCCGGCCCCGCTCTGCCCAGGGGGGCGGGGGGCCGGAGGCTGTGTAGCGGAGGAGGGACCGGGCGGGCTGGCGGCACGGCCGCGTAAGGTGAGGACCGGACCGGTGGGGCGGGGGGGCAGCGTAAACGCGGCCGCCCCCAGGGCCCAATTGCGCTGCTGTTGCCTCTACCGGGTCGAGAGCCCGGGCGTGTCTCCCCAGCTCAGAGTGGAAGAGCGTGTATTCTGTGTTAGCTGCGCGTGTCTGCCTCCCCAGCCACTCCTAAGTCCCAGGCCCGCTTTGAACTCGGTCCCCATGTGTCTGTGCATGGATGTCTCTTCTCGGTGTCTCCTTGTCTACTTGGTCTCTTCCTTTCTCCTGTGTCTGATTCCCTGGAATATGAGTTTGCGAATTGATATTTCAGAGATACTGGGGAAAGGCGAGGGGACCTTGTTTGTGATGGGGAAGATGGGAAGCTTGGGACTCCAACTCCTGTGTGTGTGTGGGGGGGGACGATCGGAGAGTATGTGCGAAGTAGGTTATGCGTAGATGTGCCAGCTTAAGAATGTGCCAGTGTGTGAGCCTCTGTGTGTGTCCAGATTGGTGTGCCGAGGTCTTTTCCTGAAGCTAGACCCCCTCTCTCCACGTCCCCTATATCCCCTCTACTTTCCACGAGTAGGGGGAGAGAGAGATGGATGGATGAGGGAGACCTGATGGAGAGAGGAAGAGAGATAGGAAAGAGTGGAGGAAAGTGGAGAGACAGGAAGGGAGACAGAGGGAGAAGGGGGTAGGGGTAGTGGGCGAGAAACCAAGGCAGGAAGAGAGAAGAGAAAACTGGGGAGGGAGAAAAGGAGGGGAGTTGGAGAGAGATTGGAAAAGTGGAGAGAAGTGAGAGGGGAGGGAGAAGGGCTTCAGCCAGAATTTTGAGGGGCCTGAAGAGGGGTTTGGAGGGAGGGCGGAGCTGCAACCAGCCAGGGTTTCCTGAGGGAGGAGTTTAGGGGGTGGATTATCAGCCAAACTCTGGAGCTCTCCTTTCCCCAGTCTCAAGGCTTTCCCCTCCCCCATCACCCTCTGGGGAGCAGCCCTGCCCAGCTGTGGGGAAACATCTGGTGGAGTGGGAGGCGTGGAGAGAGGAAAGGGGGTGCGTGTAGGGAGTCTGTCCATATGTATCTCTTTATCTGTATCTCTATCTCTCTCTTGTGATCTGGTCTCTATCTGCATAGAGATATTACGTGCATGCCTACCTTTGTTCGTGCCCATGTATCTGTGTGTAAGGAACGGCATGTCTGGGTATTTAATTGCTTGTGTGTTTCTCTGTTGTGTGTACATCTCTGTGTCTTTTGAGTGCCAGGGTATCTGTGAATGTATGTCTCCGCATGTTTGTTTCTATATAACCAAGTGCTTATCTATATTGGTGTCTTGTCTGTACCTGTCTTTGTATGCCTTTGTGCATTTGTGTGAGTGCATGTCTTATATGGTTTCATTTGTGCAGCTCTGTGTGTGCACTGCCCTCTCTGAATCCAATGGTGACAATTCAACATCCCAATTAAAAGTTGGGTTCTTTTTTTGGGGGGGGGGAGTGTGATACAACTTGTGAATTGTTACACTCACCCTTCTGCCCCTTAACACACAAACATAGGACATACACATGCATTGTTATACAAATGAACCCAACCATGTGGATACACACAAAATATCTGTAAACCCTTACTAGATTATTCACAGACTCATTCCCAACACCCTTGTTTTGGGGGATGAGGCACAGAAGAAAAAGTAATGGGATGAGGGAAAGGGTAGACCTGAGGCTTCCTTTCCAGTCTGTAAGATTGTGTGTGTGTGGGGGGGTGTCCTGGCAGTGGAAGAGGCCCATTCCTTAGCTCTGGCCTTACCCCTAGGGCTGGGGTAGGGGAAGGGGGAGGGAAGGGGGCCTGGCTGAGGGGCAGCCACATTCTGTAGGGGAATGGGGGGGGGGAAGGGGGTGGGAATTGGAGGAACCAGGCAAGGGGAAGTGGGGAGAGGGGGGCTGCCTTGAACTCCCAGAGCTGAGAGCTGAGAGCTGAGAACAGAAGCAGAGTAGGAGCTGGCTGAGGGCTGGAGGGAGGAGGAAGGATCATGGACACAGAGAGTACCAGGAACTAAGGTAGGGGGAATAAAAAACAGGGGTGGAGGGTGCAAAGTGATAGAAGCCCTATGCCTCACTCCATGGGAAATGTGATCTGTGTCCATATATGTAATCGAACAAGTATATAGACATGGGTATACACATGTAGACAGACATATGCATTTACATGTGTCCAGTACCCTGTATCTGAGACTGGCCTTTCTATAAAGTCCTCTCTCTATTCCCCTTCCCCACTCATCTCTATCACTCTCAATTCACCTTTCTGCTGTATCTCCCAGATCCTGTCTCCCGGTCTCCATTCTTCATTCCTCCTCCCTTAAGGTGCCTCCCCTCCCCCTCTCCCTCCCCTAATCACCCTTTTGTCTCTGGGCCTCTGGCAGCAGCTGTTGCATCTGGATCAGATTAGTCCTTTACCTCCCCTATTTCCCCCTCCTTCTCCCTAAGCTTCTAAGGCTCCTTCCTAGGAGTGAGTCCTGAAGAGAACTAAGAACAGAGTGGGACAGAGTGGCCCAGGGTCTGGTTAGAGCCAGACTGTCTTCTCTGCTTGCCCCAGAGAGGGACAGGATGAAGGACTCATAATGGTTGGCTTAAGTGGGGTTGTGGCAGAATATGGCCACTCTCTGATGCTATCTCTCCTATCTGTGGGCACTCCCTCTCCCCATCAGACAGACTTATTCCAGGAGGCACTGGGGCTAAGGTGGCAGGGATCCTTAGGTCTCTAGACTATTTCCCAAAGACAGCAGTTTCCTAGGTTCTAGGGTCCAACCTTACCCATCCCTTCCTAAGTGGGTTTGGCTATTTTCCAGGTTAGGCATCTAGAGGAAAAGGGTTAACAGTGGAGCTGGGCCAAGCTAGAGTGGGGTGGGGGGAGCTGCCCTAGCAGTGCCAAATTCTGAACTAGCTCCAGTGCCAAGGTTGTCAGGAGGAGGCGGGGGTCTGGCACGGACCCCAACGCCTCCAGCTTTTGTCCTAGGCCCCAAGCCCAGAACTGGGGCTCCTTGGGGCTGGGGTGGGGGTAGAAGTGGTGGTGAAGAGGGGGTGGGACTATGTGTATACAAGTCTGTCTCAGTGTGTGAGCATATGTATTAGTACTATGAGTATCAAGTGTGCATGTGTGTATTTTTGTGAATATATTGTCTGTGTTTCTACCTTTTATATATGAGTATGTATGTGTCATTGTATGTATGTATGTGTATGTCCTCCTGCTCCAGAAAATGAAAGTCCCTCTCAGTTTTCTGTTTTATACCTTGGTTTCCCTCCTGGAAAGAGAAAGATCCCTGGTAGGGAGGCGAGGGGGAAGGAATGATGCCTGGGAGGAAGTAGCATGCAGTACACAGAGGAGTCTGGGGTCCCGGAGAGCCAACCTTCCCTTGGGATGACCCTGTACCTCATTTTCCTTCCAGATGAGCAGCAGTTGCTTTGGGCTGGGCAGGGTCTTGGTGATTGTGGCTGCAGCCTTAGTGTCTGTTCCTTCCACTGGCCCTGAGGCCTGGGGTCCCCCAGGTGAGAAAACATGGCATAGACCAGGACCCCCAACTACTGACCTGAGTTAGCAGACCTTTGACTCAGGATGAAACCACTACCCCCTGACCTGTGTTCCCCAGAAATGTGACTCCATAACCTAAGAGCCGATGTCCAACTCCCATTCCCCAGGGATGTAACCCCATAACCTAAGAGCTGATGTCCAACTCCTGGAATCCCTCGTAACCACTATCCCCTGATGTGGGAGGGAATTGGGGGAGGTCTCAGGAGTCAGCATGGGGAGTCTTTCTCCTCAGAATTCATGCCAACCCCATCCCCAGGAGTCCAGTACGGGCAACTTGGAGAGACCGTTGTGCTGTTGTGTCCAGGAGTGACTCTCGGGTAAGTGTGTCACCGTACTTCTTCAACCTTCATCACAACCTTCTCATATCTTCAGGGGATGATGGGTGGAATATGTAGTCAAGAGTTGAGGGAGTGGGATGGGGTGGAGGTACATGGACTTCTGCTGTTCTTATCCCTTGTCCAGCACTTAGCATAGTGCTTGGCACATAGTAGGTGCTTAATAAAAGTTTATCAATTGATTGATCTCCCAACTTCATCCATGCTTCTTCCCCAACTTCATCCTGATCTATCTTCAACCCTCCCCACCCACACCTTGCATCCTCAGGACGCTGGTTTCCTGGCACCGGGCTGATGGCCACGCGCTCCTGGGGACAGCGAGGTCAGAGTTAGGGTTGGGACAACGGGAACTGGTCCTGGAGCAGGCAGATAGCAAGGACGAGGGCACTTACATCTGTCAGTCCCAGGATGGGGGGACCAGAGGCTCTGTGACGCTCCAACTAGGCTGTGAGTGATGTTGGGGATTGAGGGTTTTTGGAATGACTTGGGGCATGGCATGAGTGACCCTGGTGAGGGGGTGGTGGAATTAAGTTGGCCTGTGAGGGACTGGAAAGAGGTGGGACCATAGCAAGGAAGAATTCTGGAGTAGAGTAATTGGTGGCTCCCTGGCAGCCCTCAGCTCCTGTCCTGTCCTCACAGACCCCCCATCTCGTCCCATGGTTTCCTGCCGGGCATCAGACTATGAGAATTTCTCCTGTTCCTGGAGCCCTAGCCGGGTCAGTGGCCTTCCCACACGATACATTGCCTCCTACAGGTATATGAGTCATGGATTAAAGGGAAATGGAATGGACATGGGGGATATGGGGAGAAGGGAAAATTGGAGGTAGACAAGCTACCCCTGGGACCTCCTTATGAAGTGTCTACAGTTAGGGAAATGCTACCTGGGGGGCTGTGGCAGCCCAGAAGTATAACCCAAGCATCCCTTTTCTCTTTCTTCCTGCCACAGGAAGAAAATCATCCTTGGAACAGAAAGAGGAAGGTAAGAAGCCCTGATCCTCTCTTACCCCAGGTGGGCTGTTTGTGGAGAGGGATGAGGTGGGCAGAGGGTTTCAGGAGGCTAAGCTCAACCTTTGTGTGGGGTCCATAGTAGGACTGGGAGTCCCTTGAGTGGGCAGTCCTGGTGCCCACTGTGCCCTCTCCTTACTATATAGGCCAGCACTGTCTGCAGATCCCTGGCCATGCTTACCAGAACTTCCTGGGGCTGCCCGGTGTGTGGTCCATGGCTCTGAGTTCTGGAGCCAATATCGGATTAATGTGACTGAGGTGAACCCCCTGGGAGCCAGTGCCCGCCTACTGGATGTGAGCATGCAAAGTATCTGTGAGTAGGCCCCTTTGATGCCACCTAAAATACTGACTTCTATCATAAAACATCTGTGAATGACCCCTCTCCCCAATGCTGACCCTCTGCAAGAAAGTCTGTTAGTACACAGAACATCCATGACTAATACCCCCAATCCAATTACATTGATATTATGGATGCTGAACCCACCAACCAGCAGCACATTTTAGAATGGTCTCAGTGACTCCTTTAACATATGGAGTGACCTCATGTGATTCTCTCAAAAACTGACCCTCATAGAGTTATAGATTTAAAGCTGGGAGGGGCCTTAGGAGCTATTGAGTCCAACCCCCTCATTTTACAGATGAGGAAACTGAGGCTTAGAGAGGTTAAGTGACTTTTTCCAGGGATGCCTGACTAGTAAGTGCCTGAGGCAGGATTTGAACTCAGGTCTTCCTAACTCCAAGCCTAGCATTATATCAACTGTGACATCTAGCTGTCTCAACCCTATCATCACACAAAGCATTCTATCCATGATCCCCTAAGATCTTCCACATTGACTTCTACTATGAACCCCCTAAACATTGCCCCTCGCCCCCCACAGTGTGTCTGTGAATGACCTTCTCAATACTGTCCCCATAAAAAGACAGGTACTGCATGCATACTAACCCAATCATTGTGCAGAAGATCTGTTGGTGAGCTCCCACAACCCTTTTCCACAAGGAGACTATATTAACACATCTCCAGGGACCCCTGGGACTCCTTTTCCACATGGACACTATATTAACACATTCAGGGATCCCTGGGACTCCTCTTTGTAAAAACTGACCCTACCAGCACAGAATATTTCTATATAACTCTCTGGTGACCTCTATGTTAGCCCCTATGACTCCTCAGTTACTGATCCCCTTCCCACTGACTCCATCAGCATATAACATATTCTTAATTGACCCCAACTTGTCAAAATACTGACCCCTTAGTAACCCCAAAACTGTATCCCACCTTTGCTGAATAATCCTGGAGGGGTACTGGTTCCCTAACCCTAGGCAGGAGCTGGCTGACTTTGGCATCCTCCCCCCTCTTTTCTCTCTGCTTAAGGATTCTGTTCCCAGCAGCCACAACAGGCCACTCACTAGGTCACTTTCTATGTCCCCTAGTCCTCTAGTGACTTAAGTTCTTCCTTTTCTCGATCCCTTACAAGATGGGAGGTTTCAAGGGGAAGGGTTACTAAGAAATGGAAGTGAATAAAATCAAACCAGAAGCACACTCCCAAACAGGCTGAGTTATGAAGGACAGGATTTGATCCTGTTATTCTTGACCGCTGGGGATCCTCCCTTGGTTCCTGGATAAAGAAGGAAAGAAGCAAGTGCTTAAGGGCTTACCGTATTCCAGGCACTGTGATCCTCTGTTATTTAATAACTCATTTATATAGGACTTTAAGGTTTAAGTGCTTTCCTCAGCCCTGTGACATAGGCAGTACAGAGGTCATCACTCCCATTTTCTAGAGGAGGACACTGAGGTTCACAGAGATTATGTGACTTGACCATAGTTACATAGTGAGTAAGTGTCGGAGCTAGGATTCCAGCCTAGGTCTCCTGCTGACTCCAAGTCCAGTGTTCTCCCAGGTATATTGTTCTGCCCCATTCCTCTAGTAGGTGTAGCTGCTATGCCCACAGTGAGCCCAGGTCCCTCTAGGTGGCTACATTCTAGTCCCACCTCTCTGTGAGCCTTCTCCCCTATCTCTAGCTCCAAGTTAGGCTTCACCTCTGCTCTGTAACCTTCCAGACCAATGTGGGTATTGTCTTAATTCCTGGATAAAGAAGGAGAGAAATAAGTACTTAAGTGCCTACCATGTGCCAGGCACTGTGCTATGTGTTTTACAAATATTATTTTATTTGATCCTCACAACCACCCTGGGAGGTAGGTGCTATTATTTTCCCCTTTTTACAGTAGAGGCAGAACTGGGTTAAGTGACTTGCCCAGGGTCACACAGCTAGTAAGCATCTGAGGTCAAATTTGAACTCAGGTCTTCCTGATTTCAGGCCCAGCACTATATCCACCAGATCCCCTAGTTTTCTCTCAGTTAACCTCTTTTCTCTTTGTCCCCAGAGATTACTTGCCTAGGTTTCATGCCCTACCTTGGTTGACCTTGCTTTCATCTTTGTATCTGCAGCACTTTGCACCATCTGCTAGGGGTCTCTGACTATCTAGCCCCTAACATTCTGTCCTCATCCCTGACCTGCTCTTCCTCGCCCTCTTAAGTTGTTTTTTTTTTTTAAAGCCCTTTCCTCAGCTGGTCCTGTCCTCTGGTGAAGCTTGAGTTTTCTACCTTTTGTCCTAAGCTAGCACCTTTACCTAATCTCAAGAGCAGTTTTTGACCTAAACACCATCATCCCAGTAGCTCACGTTTTGTATCCTGCCATCTTTCTTCAAAAACCAAAACCATCCTTCATCCCTGCTTCTTCCTCTTTCTTTTTTTATTTTTCTTTTTATTTCTTTTTGTTGGGCTAGGCAATGGGGTTAAGCGACCCACCCAGGGTCACACAGCCAGTAAGTGTTATGTGTCTGAAGTTGGATTTGAACTCAGGTTCTCCTGAATCCAGGGCCGGTGCTCTATCCACTGTGCCACCTAGCTGCCCCATTATGACTCTTTTTTTTTTTTAGGCAATTGGGGTTAAGTGACAGCTAGTAAGTGTCAAGTGTTTGGTCTGAGGTCGGATTTGAACTCAGGGCCTCCTGACTTCAGGGCTGTTGCTCTATCCACCGAGCCACCTAGCTGCCCCCCTCTTCCTCTTTCAAAGCCCAAGCTGGCTTTGGGACCACACACAAAGCTGTCATAACCTCTAGCTGTCCATAAGATACTGATGGTGAATAACAGAGGATCATAGAGCCAGAAGGGACTTAAGAGGCCATCTAATCCAACCCTCTCATTTTCCATAAGAGAAACAGGCCCAGAGAAGCTATGGAATTTGCCCACAAAATAGTAAGCAACAGAGTCAGAATTTGAATCCAGTTCTGACTCAAAATTCAGCGTGCTTTCCACTGTCCCAGGTGCTGAACCCAATGAGTGATGGTTTTGGCTACTGGTTCTACCTACTCCCTCAGGTTTCTTTCTTACTTTCTCTTAGATACAGTTCCAGTGGAAGGAGGTGAAATTCTTCCCCAAATCCCTTACATTCCTATATTGCATGATTTCCTCCATTAAAGTCCTCCTCTGATGCCTTTCATTGTCATAGAAGAGACCCTATATTCCCAAAGGCTGTTAGTGGAATGTAAGCTTTGGTAGCTCTTACCAAGAAGGAGAGGCTTCAAGCAGGGGCTCAGAGGTCCTTTGTGCATTTGTCCCTGGAGGATCAGCCTTGTTAATTTCATGAAGTTCATTACCAGATGGTTAGCCAAAGAGTGACTTTTTTTTTGTCACAACTTATAAGGAGTGGGTGGAACCTCTCATCTCCTAAGGCATTTTGAGAGTTTGGGATCTTTGTTGGCAGGTGGAGTACTATTGAAATAATGGATCAATTAAAGTTTGAAGTATATTGCAGTCAGTCAGCAAACCACATTCATTAAGCACCTACTATGTGCCAGGCACTATGCTAAGTATTGGGTTACATAGAAAGGTAAAAAAGAGTCCCTGTTCTCAAGGAGCTCACGGTCTAATGGGAGGAGATAACGTTCAAATAACTCTGTATGAGCAAGGTCTAAGTAGAATAAATTGGGTAGAGTCTCAGAGGGAAGGCCCTAAGATTAAGAACTGGGAAAGGTTTTGCGGAAGGGGAATGGAGTGTTGTGCAAGAAGCATCGAGGGTAGGAAGGGGTCGTTATGAAGGGCTTTAAAAATCAAACAGAGGATTTTCTGTTTGATCCTGTAAGTACTAGAAATCCACTGCAATTTATTCAAAGAGGGGGGCGTGACATGGTCAGACCTGCACTTAAGGAAGATCACTTTTGGCAACTGAGTGGAGGATGGAATGGAGTAGGGAGAGACATGAGGCAGGGAGATGACCAGCAGGCTAGATACAGTGCAGATTCGAGGTGATGATGGCCTGCACCGGGCCTGCAGAAGAGAGCAAGGAGCTTATGCAAGAGGAGTCATGAAACTGATTGGATGGGGGTAGGTGAGAGTGGAGAGTCAGGGGTGATACCTAGGGAGTGAGCCTAGGTGTGATGTTACCCTGGACAGTCCTAGAGAAGAAAGCAAAAAGGGAGGGCTAGGAGGGAAAGATGACGTGAGTTTGGGACCTGCAGAGTTTAAGATTTCTATGTGACATCTATTTTGAGATGTCTAAAAGGCAGTTGGAGAGGTGACCTGGAGGTCAGGAGAGAAGTCAGGGCTGTATACACATCTAAGAATCATCTGCCTAGAGATGATAATTGACTGCCTGGGAGTCACCCACTCAGGGCTCATAACTGGACATGAAATATTAAACACACAGTAAAACTACCTATAGATACATATACACATGCATATATATACATACACACATACTTATTCTATGTAATTCCCAACAAAGTAGAGAGCTATTGCCTCAATCCTCAGGCCCCTCAATATAGACTCTACATGACAGTGCCCCAGTTACAGACCCTTCTACACACAAGCTGACCTCTCTCTAACATGACCACCAATCCCAGCATACTGACCATTTCGGTTCACCATCTCTCAGTAACTCTACCATTGGTGACACCCCTGTTTCTACCTGTGCATGCTTCCTGGTGTGTCCTACCAATACCTTCCCCAATCCCAGCTTCTGTCTGTCTCTCGACTGTCTCTGATCTAGACTCAGGGCAGAGTGTAAGGGGCGGCAAGGAGGAGCTTACCATCCCCACTGACCCTGGTCCCATTCTTACTTTCATGTTCACAGTAAGGCCAGACCCACCCCAGGGACTTCGAGTAGAACCAATTCCTGGGGCTCCCCGACGCCTACTGGTCAGCTGGGCCTATCCAAACTCCTGGCCCCTCCAACCCCACTTTTTGCTCAAGTTCCGACTGCAATACCGCCCTGTGCGCCACCTGACCTGGTCCATGGTAAGGGAGAAGGTGGGACAGAAGGATTTAGCCCAGTCCTTGGTAAGGGGGACCTGGTGAAGGAATGGAGTGGAGGCAAAAACTCGTAAGCCTTTTCCACAGGACAGGTGCCCTCAGATCTGGGAGTCCCCGTGGCTCAAACTCCCTGTCTTCTTAAATCTGAACCTCCTGTTCCTGGGGGCTCAGCCTAGTCTCCTGTGTATATCTTGCTCTCTTGACTTGGGGTGTTCCTGTGTGTGGGGAGGCATCCTGTCCAGGATGGACAGGGAGTACACTAAAATCCGTAATCATCCCACCTCATTTGGTCTCCATCTCCCAGCTCTCTTTAGGTTGTTCCCCTCTTTGGAGTTAACAGGTAGACTGGCTTCCTGCTGCTACTGAATTAAAAAAAAAATTTCTAGGCAAGTTAAGACAAAGTATCTATCCTACCCACCTCCACCCCAACATAGAATAACCCCAAGAAAGAGTTAGTGGGTGTGGGTTTGCAGGTCAATTAAGAAGAGCCCTTCACTGGGAGCTGGAAGGCTACCATATAGAATCTGAGCTTGACCAGGGACATCCTGTGTCTTCTTGGGCCAATCACTTCTTTCTGGTACTCAGTTTCCTCATCTGTAAAATGAGAGGAGTAGACTCTGTGGAGGAACCTCTGACACACATTCTTCAGTCCCTTCCAGCGATAATTTGGAACTTCTGGGTTGTCCAGATTCTAAGTTAATTTCAGATCTGGCCACCGGCTTCTCAACCAACCATTTTATGGGCCCTGGGCGAATTATTTGGGTCCTTCCTAGAGCCCTACCATTCTGTCTGGGGGTCTTTTGCCCTCAATTTTCAGTCCCCCAGTGATGATGGAGCAGGAAAAGAGGGGAAGGTATCTACAACTTTGTTTGGCTGTTCCCTGCCTGCCTCCCTCATCCCCACACTTCCATCCATCTAGCTCAGGGTTAGATGACCTCAGTGTAATTTGCAGGCATTCCAGGGCCCATGCAGTAGTCAGCCCCTAGTGTTGGGCAGAGGCCTCCTCCACACTCCTTCCCCCCTCACGGAATGCTCCTGCCAAAGAACCCCATGCCCCCAGGTCCCTCCCTGTGACCCCGCAGGTGGAGCCGGCTGGGCTAGAGGAGGTGATCACTGATGCCGTGGCCGGGCTGCCCCATGTGGTTCGAGTTAGTGCTCGAGACTTCCTTGATGCTGGCACCTGGAGCGACTGGAGCGAGGAGGCGTGGGGGACCCCAAGTCCTGGTGAGAGGAAGTGTTCAGGCCCAGGAGGATAGAAGGGAGGTCTGGAGAGCAGCCCAGTGCATGGGGCCTGGCTCTGCCCTTCATAAGCCACTCTTGCTCTCTTAGCATTGACAGCCTTTGGCCCCAGCACCAGACCTAGTGAGAGGCCCTCGGAGACAGAGACGCTGACCCAGATGCAGACGCAGGTGCAGGCACAGACAGAGATGAAGCCAGAGAGACAAGTTCTCCCCAGGCCTTCCCTGCAGCCCGACTCTCAGCCATTAACGGGTGAGTTGGCTGCCTGGGTGTGCCAGGGTCACAGACTGCAGCTGCAGCCTCATCAGGGGTATATAGACCCCAAAGACAAGAAGCAGTGAAATGTGGGTTATTAACTACCCCAAATCGCCCCCCCCAGGGCCTCCACCTGCTGAGGAGGTGGGGTCAAGCTGCTTCTCATGTGGGTTCTCCCTCCACCATCCAGACCACAGGGATCCCCTGGAGCAGGTGGCTGTGGTAGCATCTCTGGGCGTCTTCTCTTTTGTGGGTCTGGCTGCTGGGGCCCTTGCACTCCTGCTCTGGTGAGTGACTCCAGCCCTGTCAATACCCCATCCCTCTGCCAGCAAATTCCCTCAAAAGCCTCTCTCACCCGATCTGAGAGATCATTCAGCCTGAGATTCCCTTTGTGCCTCCCCCCTCCCCGGCCCATCCCTTTTATAGAATATTAGTTTATGGTATAAGTGAAAGAGCATTGGTTCTGGTGTCAGGGGACCTGGGTTCAAATCATACCCTGAGCCTCAGTTTCTTCCTTGT